ACCAGAATCCGAACAGAAGGTGACTCTGGCATCAAGGTGGTCAGAGGTGACCGGAAGAGACTGCACAACTATCAGTCGGCCGCTCACGGCAGGAGAGACAGACAGACAGACAGACAGACAGACAGACAGACAGACAGACAGACAGACAGACAGACAGACAGACAGACAGAGACAGAGACAGAGAAAGAAAGGGGAAAGAGAGATAGACTTGGAGATATTATAATGTGTCATGTAGGTGTTTTACGCCCACACCGACATAATATAGATCATTTAAGAAGTGGGCTTCGATTATGACAGTCAAGGCCAACATGGGATGACAAGAGGAATACAATATCCCATCAGAAATACCGAGATACTGGATAAAAACTATCCACAATCGAATATCGAACTCGGGTCTCTTGCGTGTAAGGGTGAAGCTCCGGCCCTTTACACCAAAGACGTCGGTAGATAGAGAGAGAGAGAGAGAGAGAGAGAGAGAGAGAGAGAGAGAGAGAGAGAGTATGTGTATGTGTGTGTGTGAGAGAGAGTGAGAGAGAAAGAGAGAGAGAGAGAGGGGGGGGAAAGAGGGGTTGTATTATTGAAACCTACTATCTATTACAAATAATCTATCAACATTTGTTTTGCTGTTTTTAATCATAGTTTTCTTTTTCTTGCATTTAACAAACAGTATTTAACTTTTTGGTTCGAAAAAGTCCGAAATAATTCTAATTCTCCTTTACTGAGACGTTTAATTAATACAACTTTTTTTTCTTTTTTTCTCTTTTTTCAAGTGACGGTGACAGTTGAGAGGTTCCTCATTGTACTCAGACCCCTCAAGGCTCGGGTCTTCTGTACCTTCGGGAACGTCCGGAAAGTGACCCTGGCCATTTTCCTCTTCTCCATCCTCTTTAACATCCCGAGGTGCTTCTTCTACCAGCTGGCCACGTCCATACCTATTATGCAGGTGAAAAGATGTTGCTGTTGTTGTTGTTGTTGTTATTGTTGTTGTTGTTGTTGTTCTTGTTCTTGTTGTTGTTGTTGTTGTTGATGCTGATGATGATGATGATGATGATGATGATGATGATGATGATGATGATGATGATGATGATGTTGCCGTTGGTAGTGGTGACGCTTTGCTGTTGTTTTTACTCTTGTTGTGGTTTTTGTAATTGCTGGTAGTAGTGGTGTTGGTGGGATTTTTAATATTATTTTTAAAATATTTTTAATGCTTTTTGTATGTATGTGTTTTTTTAATTAATTTTTTATTTTGGCTTTTATTTTTCATTTCTTTATTTTAAAAGAATCAGTTCAATTTAGTTTTTGATATTTTAATTTATTTTGTGTTACTTTCCTATCATTTTGTATAGAATATTTATTAAATTCTGTACATTTTTTTTTCTCATTTATTTATCATTATTTGTTACCCTTTTTAAAACATTTTTTGGGGGTGGGGGTTCAAATTGATGACCCTATTTATGTGTCTGTTTCTGCGCTGGTTTTGGGTTCGTGCGCAACTGCCTAAGGTCACATGAGCGCCAGAAGATTAGAGATGTTACAAGAGAGTAACAAACATAAAAAAGAAGAAGAGGAGATAAGGACGATAGATGTTTGATAGGAAAGAAGGAGCAAACCACACTAGAGCACCCGCCAACCACCTGATCTTGTTGATAAAGTTGTTGGTGATGGAGATGAAACTGCTGCTGCTGTTTTCGTTGTTTCTATTTTGGTAATCATATTCCTTTTTTTAAAGTTCTTTTGCTGTTTCTTTTATACTTCTTTTCATTTTTTAAATTTCTTTCTATAGAGGTCATGTCCTATCTGAACTTCGTGTATTATTCATTGGGGTTCTTAAGATGCCAATTTGCCCTTTGCAAGTTGGAGCATCACTGTTTCCTTTGCTTAACGGAATCCATGGCGTTTCGAAGTTCAAGGCTAACCTCACATGAGGCGTTAAACTATTCGCGTCCTACTTTTCACGGCTCCACAAAAAGTATCGAGGGCACAAGTGCGGAAAAAAAGGTATACGCCTTTGGCGGGGCGAAAAAAATCACGTTGGTCTTTATTTAAAAAATGACGTTAGTTTAAGTAATGAGGAAATCCGACACACGCGAAAAAGCATTCCTTTGGCTAATTCTCTTAAAACGTATACACTGAAGATACATTGAGCTACCATTCACTGTTTTAAGAAAAAAAACCTAGTATTATTTGGCGACTTTTTAAAAAGTTTGTTTGGGTTTTTTCCAGATCGTAAGACGTTAAAAACTAACGGGTTGTTTTGGGGATGGTTTTTTCCCCTTTTCTTTTCATCGTGTAACTTTGCCCTTACTACCAGAGCCTTAATTGCAGATTTTCACGGAACGCTACCGCTTTTTGAGGTGCAAACGAAGTAACGAACTGACTAGCACCGAGGTGCCACCCGCTATGACGCTGTAGGTAGCACACTTGACCTGTAACGGGGTTCACTGATCTGTTTGTAATGGAATTCTATAGGTTTGTTTCTTTTTCCTTAAGTCTTCAGTCCTGAAATATTTCTTTTCATCCTGGGGTCAAGACGCGGGAACGTAGAGATCCGACCCTGGACGAACTCACAATGTGTCTAGTAAAGCAACAACAAAAGGTCGGAGGTTGTCTAAGTCAATGTTCTTGACTGGAGGCTTTGAATTGGAATAACGGTATAAAGCTTGGGAAAGTGTAGCATGGATTCTGTAGTGTGGAGACTCATGACTTAGTTATAGCGTAGGCTTCTGTTACTTCTAGCTACATAATGTTACTTGTAAAGTTAAATTTCAGTTTTTAAAGAAACTGCTAGCAAAGCGTAATGATTATCTGATGTTGGTCTTATTAGAAACTTGACATGATGTTTAAACAGGTTGGAATTATAACCCCAAGGGAATAAGGGGTTTATAAGGGGGGGGGAGGGCTACACCCCCAAAGTCCCAATTCGGCCCAAAATTATGGAATTTGAGTTGTAGGCACTTTTAGCTTCCTCAGCCTCCCCTACAACTATTTCATCGTATAAGAACCCCCCAAAACCGCATTTTTTACCATACCGGGCCTCTTCGTCACCACTTTTTTCTCGTAAAGTCGATATTTTATTTTTCTTTATCGGCCGTTTTCTCAAAACGCTACTTTTCTCTATACTTTTTAAATAACTCCACCATTTGTTATCTAATCTTCATGAAATTTTCACAGAATAAAGAGAAGATGTAATACTAAAATTGTATATGTTGAATATTCGATATATGAAATAGATTTTTGTCGGTGGTGTCTGGAGTGTGGATTTTCATAGATTTTTTGCAAACTTGAAAGCTACTTCAGGAAAAATTCATTTTAAAAAATTCTGATTTGTTTAGGAAAAAACCAACAGACTCACTTTAGATATAATGTTTGTTAACACGCACGCAAAAAGACAATTAATTTCCATGAGCAATAAGTGCGGTATTCATTACGTAGGACATGTCAACAAAATCCAATATGGCTGCCGTATCCATGGAAACATTTCAAATTTTATTGCGGATTTTGAGGCTCCTTACTACGTTTGTTATATGTGTGACATTTGGTAAAAGTTGGTACTGTAATAAGCGAGATAGCCTTCAGGTGTAGCCCCCCCCCTTAATAGTCCGTTGCCTCACGTGTAAAGGGCAAAACTTCCACCTACTTTTCTTGCCCTTGACCTATTTGGAGACTGTGAGGCATCTTTTTTCTGCTCTTCGTCATAAAGCATGTGACGTGTGACCAGTAAATAAAGGCACATGAAGTCTTACTCTTTAAATTCAAAATCTCGTGTATTGTTATGAGGATAGCTGGATAATAAAACAATACAAACAGAAGAAGAACTACAATAGAACTTGTTCGCTGGGAAAGAGCAGAGATGGGGTTGGGTTGGGTTTTTTTCAAGTTTCTTATTTTAGAAAATTAAAGTACTTGGGTGATTGCCAACGTTAGGGTGCACAGTGTCTTCTGGGGAGTATTCCTTTGAAAGAACGGAGAAGATGATTATTTACGTCCTTTTATCATGAGAACGCCCTGGGCAAATTCAGATGTCAACAAAAAGAAATCAATAAGGTAGGAAAGGAGCAACTCAGTACTTTAAACATGCCGAGAGAGAGCACGTGCGTCATCGTCATAGTTTATAGCAGTCGTGTTTCTTCTATTTCTGCTTTTTCTTCTTCTTCAGACCCATTGCGGAAGCACCGTGTTTGTTGGCTGTTAATGGCAGAGTAGAAACAGCAACCTCGACAGAAGCCCTGATTTTATCAGCAGCCTCGAACATTGTTGCCATTCCCGTTGCTACTTAACAACAATTTATCTCACTTTCTTGGTAATTAGCACTATTTACTGCCAATGTGATCAACCGGGGTCAACGATAGGGCAGACTTATAACGTTTCCAGCATTTCTGAATGTTAAGTGCATAAAGCATTAAATGCCTGCCAAGCAAGCGAACACTGCATTAATTATGAGCAATGAAGTAGTATAATACAGAAAGAACGCATGTATCTCATCCAATGTAGCTTTCCAAGAGTTTGATCGTAGTTAATTTTTCGTTGTGATAACTGCAATAGAAGGTGATCTGAGACTGGGTACACATTATATGGTCTCTAACGTCGCAAAAAAAGTGTTATCGTCATCCAAAATATTAACTTGGTATTTTTTCAAAATAACATATTTGACTTTGACCTTAGTGTATGTTCTCGGAAAATAGTTCAACGTTTTATCTCCTTACTTAGGAGATATTAATAAGGTTTGTTTTCATACACGTGTACTTTTGTATCATTAACAGGTAGAAATTGTTTTTATTGAAAATCTTGGCAATTGACCTTATTATGATTTCTAAAACTAAAGAGCGTTTTGATTGATTAGACAAAACGAAAAAGCATTGGAATCTTTTTTTTTTACTATATAGAGTTCACACTTAACGACTGGGAAGATAGTGACCGTGACAGACAGAACTCTCTGTCAAGTACAATAGCGCCGATGGCGGAGTAATACACAAGACCGTACGTATCAGATGCAGTGTTCACATTTTCTTGTCTCGGTCTTCTTTCCTTCTACTGGTTTTACTCTAACGAGAAGTCCAAATGGTCTACCTTCGAGATGACTCATTTGTGTCTGGTTGGATCGTAAACCCATACAATTACATCTGAACTCCTGCCCCACATCAGAATGTACACTGTCATATAGGTCTAGAGCTGATGTAGTCGATTAATTTTAAGCTTTATGTTTCTATAATCCCATTTTGCCCCTGGCGAAATGTGGTCGTTATCGTGCTGAGTGACTGTAAACTACAAGTTTTCAAGTCTGTGGTTGAACAGTGACGGGCTACTGAACTTGCCACTAAGAAGGCAGACTTCCCTCCACTTATCCCCTTGATTGAGCAGAGTTGTCGTAATCCAGAGTCATGACCTAAGTAGCAGCCTGGCGTGACTTCTCCACATATAGGAGACACTCCGCGGCAGGAGATTATTTTGTTTTCAGGAAAAGTCTGGTCACAGTGGTGACCTACACCTCATAGACAGCTCAAGTTTTGCACGAATCTGAGAAAAAAACACTTCATTACTGCAGCGCCTTCACCTTGGTTTAGTTTTGAGAGTCATAGTCAAAGGCAGGTGAGTGAGGACTAATGTCCAGGTTACGGATTTGCACACATAGTCGTACCTTTTGAAGATTCACAGGGTTCAATAAATGACTACATCGCACGGAATGCTGCCTTTCGGTAACGAATCATATCACGAAAAGACACCGAGAAAGTCACGAAGTTGAGAACAAAATTGACACGTCATGTCAGCTAAAAACCTTTTTTTATAATTGAAATATCAAAATATATTTATATTTAATGAAACTTGTTGCGTTGGAACCGATTTGCTCCCAGTAATGTTTTGATTCGCTGTTGTTTCGTGCGGTTAGTTTCTTTCTCTGTCTCCTTCTTCTTCCATCTCTCCTTCTCCTTCTCCGTCTCCTTTGTC